CTGTTTGCTCCTCTTGCTACTCAGTACTCTGCCGCCGCTGTATCGCACCTTCACAATAGCCAAGGCTTGTTAGGGGTGCATAAGAGCGACTTCTTTCGCCTATTCTATAAGGCGTGGGAGTCTACTTTCTGACCAGAACTTATACTCAGCTCCTTCGTCAACACAGGCATCTTTCCACAGAATCTAAGCGTTATACTTAAGCAATTTGAGCAACAAGGCAACAGCGAGCTAAGTACACCTCTAGCTATTGCTAGTAACAATTGGCGATCAATTAACCAGCTCTTCAAGTCTGTTATAGCGGAGGACAACTCTAAGGCAGCAAAGCAATTAAGGCAGACTCTCCACCACATCTCTGCTTAAAACGTGCTTCTAGAGACTAAAAACAACAGACTCTGCAGTACAATTGCACGCTTAAACCCCTTAAAAAAGAAACAGAGGACTCTTAACTTGCAGCAGGATAAGAAGTACAAGTCTAACGCCACGCTCTACAGTCCTTGTAAAGTACGCAAAGCCTAACAAGAAGCTTATAATAATAAATAACAATAACTTAAAGAAACAATTACTTAGCATTACAGGAAGGAGCAATAAGCGCAAACTGCCCTTTAGAACAGGTTAGAGAAAGAGAGACGCTCTATTACGTACAAGAATTACCTTAAGACGTTGCAGGCAAAGAGAGAGGCAGAGGCTGCTAAGAAAGAGCGTCTTAATTAAGAACACAACACAGCAAAAGCTATACAATTATCCTAATTAGGTAAGCGCGCGACATTAAAAAAGACACAGAAGAAGCCTCAGAAGCAACAGAGGCTTTGTGTGGGTGCTAGGCGTGGTGTTGTTGTAGAGGAGCTGGCACCTGCACCTCGTACTCACACCACCTGCAGCAGCCGCACCGCAACTTAGAATTATTAATAGAGCTTGCAATATCACCGCATAAGTTTGTAGATACTTAGAATTAATTTTAGCTATATAATTAACGTACTCTATCACCGAGCTGGTCATATCACCAAACCAGTCACTTAAAATCCCACCAAAAAACACAGAAACTATACCCCTGCATCTTAATAACTACTTAATGGAATCTTCTAAAAACTTTAGAATAGAGCTGTATCTATACTAATAAAACTATTTAAAAGTCTTAGACTAATAGCTAGTATAGATGTTGAGATAGCCTGTAGCTACCCCTGTATTTCAGTATCTTCTAAACAACATCTGCAATATAGGGCTAAGCACTCTAAGACTTTTAAACAGTCTTATTAGTATAGATGCAGCTCTATTCTAAAGTTTTTAGAAGATTCTATTAAGTAGTTATTAAGATGCAGGGGTATGGTTTCTGTGTTTTTTGGTGGGATTTTAAGTGACTAGTTTGGTGATATGACCAGCTCGGTAATAGAGTACGTTAATGCTTGTTGTTGACTTATACAATCTTTTTTGTGAGTTTGAGATGTCTGAAATTCGTGCACGAGCCCGAGCCGTGCACGAGCCCGGCGGACACGGTAACTAGAGCTCCCCTACAGACACTAAGCGACCAACGCGCTGGACAACCTTCACGAGTTAATTCTATGCCCAAATCACAGAGCGTAACTAATACTGAGGAGCAGGTGATTGTTAATTTTATACTTGAGCTAGACGCGCAAGGATTTTCCCCTCAGCTACCAGCTGTGGCTGATATGGCCAATTCTTTGCGCGCTGAGCGCATATAACGAGATATCAACATGCTCCGCATCCTCCGCGACGCTAAATCACGTGGTGTCGATGGTATTTCGAAAATCACCCATAGCCAATCAGGGTTGCAGGGTTCGCGCGCAGATGCCCCTTCCCAGGGCCATACGCACAGCTGTTCATGCGGGGAGAGCTATCTTAACTAGGAGTTTAAGGACTATTGCCTAGAGAACTAAATCCTTACTCTCTACATGCCACATTACTTATTGCATATCCTCTAGCTACTTAATGTGGTCTGTTTCTTGCTATTAAAGTGTAAGTACTGCTAACACATTTAAGACTTAGTATACTAACACATCTTCTATATTAATAAGGAAGGCTTCCTACTAGCCTTTAGGGACATGTTTCTTAATATATTTACAAAGGTTAACTACTAAAAGGCCTTTAAGGTATTAGGGCTTATTCCTACTAATACACAGGTAGTGTTAGATTGCCTTAAAGTGTGGCTGCATACCCTACTAGTAGTACCTCTACCTAAAATACTATAGTAATCTAAGACGCTAAGCAATACACATAAGTTTAGGTCTTAATCTAAGCTTATAAGTAACTCCTTCTAATAATTACTAAGTGTAGCATAAGAGGGGTTCTTAAAGCTTGTAAAAGGGGCTAAAGAGATGCTGTATAAAAACATCCTTATTAAGGCCTGTGTGCAAGAGCTTAAAGAGTAATTAGCAGTAATAACTAAGAGAAAATTGCGTAAGAGAAAACAGATTTAGCATAGTGGCACACTTAAGTATGGCCTAGCAGCATTGCAGGTAGCTGCTAAGGCGTGTGTAGCAGCTTAGCTATCTAAGAAGACTTAGGGTAGAGGTAGTTAACTAGGAGCTTAGTTAACTGTTTAGCGCTATAGGAACTATAGTAAGACTAGACACAACGCACAAACGTGCTAGGAGGGTGTAGAAATATCTTCTAAATCTAATGCAAGCATATAGTATACTAGGTTACTATTTAATAGTAAGTAGTTGTAGTTGTAGTAACTTGTGTTAGTTGTGCTAAGAGAAAATGGCTAGTTTGGTGATATGGCTGGCTCGGTGATAATCTACGCTATACTACGCAACGAATACTTGCTTAAGTATTCTTGTGCTTACCTTTTGGTATAGGCAGAGAAGTCACGTAGTATTGATTTCGAGGGCAGGGCGCCTACTCTGTTACAGTTTAGAGGTCTAGTTGTTAGCTGTTCAACCTCTGGTAACCTGACTGTATCTTTAGGCAGGGCAGCCTAGGCTAAGTGAGTGGCCAACAGAGTTAGAGCGCATTTGTAAATAGTCTCTAGCTATTCTACAGGTGCTAGAGTGCTTGTGCAGTGTTGCACTTCTGTGCAAATGTCTAATTAGGAGTTAGTACTTAAGTAGAGTTTAATTTTATGTGTAACGTACTCCACGGGTGAGTCGTTCATACGGGTGAGTCGTTCATACTGCCAAGACCACACCAACATTCCACTTCACAACGCAATGCCTCAACAACAACACAAATCTAAGCCCTTTAAAGAAGCTGCAATACAGCTTGCGCTTCAGGCAGTTAAACAAGACGCGACGCTCACTCTGCGACGCGCTGCAGCTATATATAACGCGCCTTACAACACGCTACGCGATCGATACGCAGGACGCACTGCACGAGCTAATTGCACGCCAAAATCACGGAATATGGATCAGACTAAGGAGGATGTGATTGCTGAGTACATACTTAAGCTGGATACCAGAGGATTTGCCCCTCAATTGGCTGCTGTAGCTGATATGGCTAATTCTTTGCGCGCTGAGCGTAATATAGCCCATGTTGGCATAAACTAGCCTAATACGTTCGTCAAGCGCCGCCCTAACCTCTAAGTCAAGTTTAATTGTAAGTACAACTACAAGAGAGCCCTGTGTGAGGACCCTAAGGTTATTAGGGGCTAGTTCCGCCTAGTGGAGAATACTAAAGCTAAGTATGGTATCTAGGATAATAACACGTACAACTTTGATGAGACAGGCTTCATGATGGGCCAGATATTAACAGGAGCAGTTGTTACAGGCTCAGAGCGTCGCGGACGGCCAAAGGCAGTGCAGCAGGGCAACCGGGAGTGGACAACAGTCATACAGGGCATCAATGGCACAGGATAGGCCATTCCGCCCTTCATCATCTTCAAAGGCCGCAACCACCTCTCTGCCTGGTACAAAGAGGACAATCTACCCTACAACTAGGTTATTAGAGTCTCTAAGAACAGATAGACTACTAACTAGCTTAGTCTTGACTAGTTAAAGCACTTTAATGCCTATACAAAGACACGCACCTAAGGAGTGTACTAGCTGCTCCTTATTAACAGCTATAAGAGCCACAACTCCCTAGACTTCTAACAATACTGCAAGGAAGCAAACATTATTACACT